ACACTGCAAACAAAAATATAAAAATATAAAACAGCTCCTAAAGAAAGGGAATTAATTACTTGAGAATAGGGTAATCACTTGAGAACTACAAAAGAAGATGATCAGGGCCCAAAAGGTAAACCCCAATGCTATTCTGGATTTATTCAGATAGGTAGTAATTACACCATCATCATCTTGCGGCTATATCCCTGCGGTTGTGAAAAGTGCTTCTCTTCAAAATCAATTACTCCCTGATGGAATTATGTTTGGATTTCTCCAATGTTTGGGAGGTATCAGTGATATTGATTTGGTTCAGTACGGATTACCAAGTGAGACATTGCACCAAACTTTATTTTTCTCTGGCGGGGGGGCACCTAGCTAATCGAAACTCCATATCTAGGGGCCTAGTTACAGTGGACAGAACATTTCATACCGTTCAACTTGACTCTTGAGTGTTACAATGCGTCAAGTTGTTTTTTTTTTCGCTTTTGGCATATTTGTGTGTTCGAATGATGTTAGATTTGACAACAAAAGGGACTTCACATCTCCAAAAATACCATGTTCTTTTCATCATAAATATCGTCTTTGAACTTAATAACATGATTAAAAAAAAAAAAAAAGATTGTAAGAGACCGAATGCAGAACGAACTGGGGATGATGGGAGGGGTGGACTGGATCAGACAAATCGAAAATACGAGTACACAATGTAAATTTTGAGCAAGACCAAGCTTAAAAGCAAATTGATCATTATTCGGAGCAATTTTATTTCTCCTGTGCCGAATGGAAAGAATTTTTGGGAAGAAATTTTCTACCCAATCAAATGACTTATCTACATCTTTTACATGGGGAGGTCCATGTTGCACAAGACTGTTTTTCCGTAATCTCGCAGAATGATTTCTCAAAAGTAGCAACTTTTAACGTTGTTAAAGCCGTGATTGTATATTCACCATTATCTGGTACCATAGGTGAAATGAGAATGAATAAAAAATTAACATATGTAACATCTTTAACATAATTGATTTCAAATTTGAATAAACATGCAGCATATAATAGTGGATGAAACGTAATTGAGCTCTTTTTCCATTGACCAACTTCGAGTGCAAGATTACGAGTTTGCAAATATTATCGGATGATCAATAATTTGCATACATTGTTCTTGGGGGAAAAAACTCGTTCTGAAAGAAAACATATAGGAAAAAAAAAACTAATTTGTTGATACTTGATAGGTTTAGTACAAAGAACATGTTTTTAGCAAATGCCTATAAAATTAGAGCACAAATCCACTTCTGCTCAGGATTTGAAACCATACCAAGTGCATCCCAAGTAGTACGGAACAGCCCATAAGTATGAGAAATATAAGAGAATGACAAAAAATATAACAATCGAAGCATGAAGGCCATTTGAAACATTGAAAGCATAAATAATTCCCTTTGAAATATCTAGAAACAGCACCATCTCTTTCAAAGAAAACAAATGATTTTAGCAAGCCCTCATATTGTGAAATGTAGAACAGTTTATTACATACAGGTAGCCTTTGGAGCCCAACCAAAACATGGCCAGACTACGACAAAGAGAACCATTCAAATCTCCGTTCTTGTAATGCAATCATCAGGCTTACATCAAACATATGTAGCATATGGCATAAGTGCAAAATGTATACCCATAAGCACGATGGTTAAACAATCCTCCCATTCAATGAGAAGATTTGCGATAATGATTTAAGCCAAAAGGAACGTGTTGTAATTTTCAAGAATATAATTGAAAGACATGACACATCAGTTGGTGACCAACAAAGAACAATTGGAAAAATTAGGCGCATGCGTTCACATTTTTTTATCAGGAATGATAGATATTTATGGCCATCCAAACCATGTGCCAGAGTGAAAGGTGCCAAGACTAGATTTAATGTTCAAAGTTATGACAAACCCTTACCGAAGTGTATTTACCCATGTTCTTTTACTTCCCAAGCAAAAAAAGACACGACTATTTTAACTATAAAAATTAATCATTAAAAGGAACATTTTTGCCACATTCAAGTGTTGGAGACTTTCCACCCATGTCGGAAAAGGCAAGTGATACCCAGGAATATAAAGATTCCCTGGTCCTAGCATTAATCTGAAAAAAGAACATGGGATTCTTAGTCAATAAGAACAAAATTCCCATTGTCGAACTTTCCCCCAACTCAAAATCCTAAAAAAAGAAGGGCCCCTAAGTGAAAGAAATTATGCATAATGGAGATTCCTAAAGACAAGTCACTAATACACCTAAGTTCTATCATCATTTACTCAAGGGGAAAGTCTCGAAACATGGTGAAAGTTCTATCATCATTTACTACCCATAGACTTTATTGGTTTTTTAAGCATGCTAAAAACATGCCTAAAAACATGGTAGTCTTGCATTCGTAGTCTCGAAACCATACCAAGTGCATCCCAAGTGACATTGGCCTGCCATGCAAGACTACGAATTCACCCCTCCATTTTGCCCGCCATAGTTATATAAGCATTCTCCTTTGTCATGAGTTATGAACAAAGATACAGGAAACGGTCACATTGACTCGTCAATTGTCACCCTTGTTTGCACTCCAGTAATAATTAAATTCACATTGACCATATCCGATTTCAGAACTTATTTTAGAGTCTCTTGTTCATTAAGTACTTTCTAAAACCCTCTCGTTTATAATGTCAGTCTAGCTGGTTTCATCAATTAATAGTATGTCAGCAACAAACACAAGACACAATGAAACTTCTTTAATGTATTCAGTCAATTTTGACACAAGCAGCATAATTTATGGCAATTCTAACAAAAGAAATAAACATAAAACATATAAAAAGGAAAAAAATGTGAGCGCCTGACATTAATGTCTTTTAATAATCACTAAGTAATTTAACTCAATCATACTCATAGACTCTGAACTAAAGAAATTAGAACAACTTGACTACAAAAGACTCCAAATCATAATAACTCTAGGTGAGAAAGACGTAAGGTTCATACCCTAACATCAACCTAATATGTCGCACATCCATGACTTTCATTAGCCCCTTTGATTTCAACCATGTAATTTATAATAATGTAATGTAAAAGATATCCCTCATTGCAAATGTCAATGTCAATCTTGTTTCCATGACCACGATGGAGGAAAATGCCTTTTCCTAGCTAAGAAAAAAAGCATCAAGCATCCTGAGAATGACATTGTATCATGACCAGATGCACCTGAATAGGGAATAGCGGTTGCAGCTTGCAGGAGTGCGAGAGGAAATGAGTCCAAGGCGTCTTTCTTAAGAACCTTTCTTTTTCTAGGAGTTGCAAGAGGGTAGAGAGATTTGGTACACAATTACTACTTATCTGCACAGCATAACCAAATGGGTACCTGTTATCCAACCCTTGCAACCCAGATCCTTTCATAAGGAAACTGTTCTTAAAAAATCGAAGTACATGGACATTTAGCTTCAAATGGTCCACCTTACGATAAATATTGGGACTCGAGGAAATGGACGCCATTGAGAATTCATAGGTTAATGAAAACTAATGGAGGAGCTCATCTTCGATTCATCCTCCACAAACCCTTGTTTATAGAAGCCAATCTCTTATTTGTGTTTTATGTACCATGCCATCACATACCATAGCCCTATTCTGGACTTAAAAAGAACTAGCATGCGAATATAAAAATCCATTGCTTGATTTTTCATAAAAAGCTCATTAATATAAAACCTACTGCTCAATAAAAGACACTAGATCATACTCCGATGTACCCAAAAAAATAAAAATAAAAGACACTAGCTTGTCACCCCCTTTAGTTATCGGCCTCGGGATTAATGAGGCCTAGCAGTACTGACCCTTAAAAAACTAGTAAAGTTAATGACCAATATGTGCTTCATTTTTCATAAGCTAGTTGATATAAAACATAAAGCCCAATAAAACATACCAAGGACAAAACTTCGGGGCTTGTTTCGTAGTATGAAAAAGAATTGGCATGTTTTTACTTTTTACATGGTGAAATACATCCAAAAAGATGTGCCTGGCAAATATGCTAAAAGGGGCAAAATACAATAAAGCAATTAGCCTTCTGTTGTTATGGTTGTGTAATCTATAGTTAACCTGGAAATTGGTTCAGGCCAGAAGAAAAAACCATGAACCTTAAAACTAGCTAGAAGAAAAATATTATTCAATGGAATAACTAAAAGAGAAACAGAAATAAGGTCAAACAGATTAAATAAAAAACTAAATAAAAAATTAAGCAGCACAAAAGTGTGACAAACACCATTTCCAACCTTGAATGCACAAATGATGGAAATGGGATAGAACTACCAACATATATGCAGAACCAAATAAAAAAATATCAGGAAACAAGGCATATGCCAAATTACTAGCAAATTAGTAAAATTTGTCTTATGCAGGTCTCACCAACAAGAGAATTTACCTGATCGGTATCTCATTAGGCCACAAAACAACTTACCTGCTTGTATCCAGACTATATGACCTGCCAAATTGTGCATGCACCATAAATCACATTTGATCACAACCGCAAATTGCCATTAACAGACCATATAAGGAATCAACCTACCTCTTTCAATTAATGCATATCTACTAAAGCCACTGAAGCCATGGACCACCTCCCATAAATGGACAATGATGTGATCATGTGACAATTAGAGCATGCATCACAAAAATCTGCAACCTACCATATGTGATCTGTTCTTTTCACCCACTGTAAATTCATATCATAGCTTCCAAAATAAAACCTGAGCAAGCACCAAAATGCCAGAACAACCTCCCTTTTAACCAATCTGAAGCTTGTGCATTAGCATCATCCCATTTTCTTAACTAACAACTAAATATCACAAGGCATTAAAATACAAATTAAATATCAGCAACCACTGAGTCCTTGCTCTCACAGGTAGCAAAGAACAAGCATGCTAAGAGGACTGCAAGTAACTGAATTGAAGGACAGCCTAGCATGTCTGTGCACATCCAATTAAAAATTTACCAAGAGAACCCAAGCACAAGCAACAAATGCACAACAATTAAAATAGAAACACAATACTCATAAGGATAGAGTTCTCAACCAGTGTTACAAAAAGCATAAATGTCTAAATGACGCCATTAAAGCCCACAACTGATCCAAGTAAACTATGAGTTCCACCACAATTTAGTCCCTACCTAATACTCCAGGTTCCACTGCCTAAACTCATAACTTCCTAGCAATAGGCATAACTAACCAATACAGACAAGATCTAACATCAAAGCCGAGTTACTGGTAGAACTGCCAACAAAGAGAATCATGGCCACCAAGTACAATGTACTTTTACAGATAAGTGAGTAATGTTACTGCAACTCATAAATCATAAAAGCTCTCGGTAAGATGTGGTGTCAAGGCTGCAAAAAGGTTCAACGGTAATCTCCAGATAATGTTGGTCCTCCTAAAAATAGCTTCATAGGTGGGCCACAAGTTTCTCAAACCTTTTTCATCTGGTCTTCTGGTTTAGGCTGGAGGCTTCATCAAAGAGGCAGTAGGCTGGCTTCAGGCTTCATAGATCTCAGCTGTTTTAATGGACAGGGAAGGCAACAAAGGTAAACAGGAGCATTAGAAATCTAAATATAGGAGGCCTGGGTAGGTTAAGATAGCAAATTGCAGAATATCATCATGTGACTAACATACATTAAAGCAACTTGCTATGTATACAGAACAAAAAAGTGTAAAGGAAGACAACAATCTACCTGCAGGCCCTAATCATCGAGGACTCTAATAACCATGATGTTTCCCATGGGAAACAGGGTTATGACCAGATAACCTGGTAACAGAAGCTAAAAATCAGGGCCAAGATATTGAACAATCTCAATAATAATCAAACAATAAAATTTTTGGAAGCTAATTAGTAATTAGCTAAATTTAGAATTAGGAGCATTGCATATATATGAATAAAGACACTTTTGATAACCATATATAACTATTCTTGAAAGATAATAGGTGTAAAGAAATGTATTCCTTCAACAGTATAACGCTAAAAATATTAAGACATTAATAGGTGAAGATAAACAAAAAATTCTTACCCTGCACTACCAGAGCGGCCAGAAGAGTAGCCACCATATGATCCATAACCACTGCCACTCTGAATAAGATACAGACATTTTTTTTATTCAGTAAGAAGATAAAGAAACATAATTCATAAAAAAGGAAAATGGAAAATTACATAAATCTGGCAAGTTGCTCAACAGGCTCAGCTTTAGATAATCAAGAGAAAAGCAAAAATGATGTCCGAAGCCAGGGAAAAATAAGCCAAATATGCATGTGCAAAAAACATTACCTGTGAGCCATAACCTCCATAACTGTCACTGGGGGGCAAATCACTGGAACCATATCCAAGAGGATAAGAGGAGTACCCACGTCCATGGGTTTTGTTATCCCTACTGCTATATTTTGAACCATCTGGAACATCTGCTGACATGGAAATATAAGGAAGAGCGGGTGGAAATGCATTCAGTGCACCTTCTCTGTCAAAGAAATTGGCTTTTAACCGAGTGGTAACATGTAACAGAGCATTCCTTGCAATGTCTAGATCTCCAGTAATCTGGACAGAAAATAATAAAGGCATCACATCATCTTAATAAAACACAAACACATAAAGCTGGCACTATGAATGTTGCAAGGAACAGAAAATGCACCATACAAGTGTGCATTTACCTGCACCATCTCATCATCTTCAGAAGCAACTTTTGGAAGGTTTTCTTTTGAAAGTATGCGTATATTTGCTTTAGTGACTTTCCTCATCTCTGTAATGATAGCCCCACCTTTACCAATAAGGCATCCAATACGTGAGGTTGGCACAAGTAGACGAGTTGTGATTGATGAATCACCAGTTTCTCTATCAGCTTTCTCACTGCATTTGGGCTGCAAGCGTATTGCTGCATCAATTGTTGGAGAGAATGGATCTTCAAAGAGCTGAAAGAGGAGCCATTACAAATTAACCACCAGCATCCATTCAAATAAAGTTCAAGTTAATTATATATATAAAAGATAATAGATTAGAATTAAATGAGCAGCAATTACAAATTAACCATCAGTGTCCATTTAGCTTCAACTTAATTATCCATACAAAACTTGAAGATAGAAAAAACAAGAAGCTTACTTCCTTTGCCGAGATAGATATTATGCAATCATCTCCTTCAGCAGCAGAGCTATCAACTTTTATTGTTGCCCCAGAATCTTGCCTGATTTGCTTGATGATAGATCCACCCTTCCCAATAACTCCTCCAATATTTCCAGTTGGACAAACCAAACGTAGTGAGAACTCCTTTGTAGAGGCTTCATCTCTTGGACCAGAATAAAAAGAGTGTCCCCATTCATTTCTTCCATCACCTTTATATCCACCATAAGGACCAACCAATGGAGCTAAGCCTACAATTTGTGGACCTGCATTTGAACCCACAAATGGGCCACTTGAGTGATACATGTTTGACATGGCAGAGGTCAGCAGATGTTGAGAGCGAGAGGGATTATCATGAAGACGGGACGATATTTGATAAAGAGCCTTCTTTACAAGTGCAGCATCCCCAGTTATCTGATAACCAAAAAAAATTGTGCAATCACCGTTAAGGTTAATAACCTCATAAAACCAACTTAATGTTGGAGGACTAGCATTTCAGAACAGTTGCAAGCAACATACACACTAATGGTGTAAGATCCATGCAAATAAATATCCACCTAATCAATATATTTGGTCTTTATCAAATAAAATACTACAACATCCAATCCCGATATAAATTCAATACATGCATGCATTCATGAATGCATCTATAGCAAAACAAAATGGTACCAGAACACACAAACACAGAAAACATAGAATGCAAGTAACAAACCAAATGCACTTATATTGCAAAAATTAATAGCATGGTTCAAATGGACAATTAACACTACACAAATATGTCATCTTCCAAATAAACAAACTAAAATTCAAGTAATAAACCATTGACTTATAGGACCAGCTCCATCAAATCCCAAGCCAACATGAGTAGTTTCAATCTATACTACTACTAAAAGTGTAAATGATAGTATAAAACTTTTGTTTGACTAATTTATCAAAAAAAAAACTTTTGTTAGACTACAATACCCCAATATTTGAATTTGGTCCCTCTCAAATTTTAAGAACAAAAATGTAATTTGAATACCCACTTTTCAACTCCTTTAATTCCCTCTCATTAAGTTTTATATTTAAGGTGTCAATTCCCATCAACATTCATTAAATCTTATTCTTAACTAAAATACCCTTACCTATGAATTTGATCCCACTCTAATTATGAGGTAACAAAATATAATATGAATTGATACATTTCTCCTCATTCAATTCCCTCTCATTAAGTTTTATATGTATGGTATTAATTCTCATTTTTCATTCAACCCTATATTAATTAACCATATTAAAGAATATTAAGTGTGACAAAGAATAATTGTTTTTATTGGTGATACAAATAAAATACAAATTAAAAAAAAAACAATGCAAAAAAGTAGTTTCCCTGTTTTCTAACGAATCAACAATTCAACCTTTTTATTAAATAATAATAATAATTTGAAAAAGATGAAACCACATAAATGTACAAAAAATACAAAAAAATCTAGAAAAATATTTATGCACATCTCTAATATTGTATATTCATCATATAAAACAAAAATAAGTGTGAAAAATAAGCATAAATTTATATAGATAGAAATATAAAAAATATTGTAAAAATGTTTAGAAACAAATTATTTACTATCATCAAAATTTATCACATGCAAAGCACATGCACACTTATTAGTATATACAGACCTAGCAAATGCATAAAAGGCAGGGAGAAGTACTTAAAGGATGCAAAGGTGATTGGACTGTCACTAAGGGTAACATATTTGTAATTATTAACACAAACCTTTTTTTAGTCTGACCCAAAATCTCAGTTTTTTTATTATTTACATTTAATTTTAGCTTAAGGCCAAGATTCAAAAAACAATGGATCAGCCCTTAGTATTAACTAATAACTATAGAACTAATAACCAGCTCATTGTTTCATATTATCTGGATCCAATAAACCAGTCACTATATGATGGATCAATCATATCGTTGTAGCAACTGAAATCTTTTTTGCATAAAGGAAAAAATTGAATTATGGGTTGTGAAGCGAAAATAGAGGGATGTGGATAAATGGAAGGGTGAAAGAAAGAGAGAAAGAGAATATTAATGATATATGATTCCAATATGTATGGTGCAATCACAACAAAGCATATAAATGCTACTAAAGGGCAAATAAGAAAAGGAACATAAAAATTACCTGGAGTAGTTCATCAGTATTCAAGGCACAAGGAGGCAGATGTTCATTCTTTAGAATGCGAATCTGAGCACCAGTGTCAGTGCGTATACTTTGAATTATCTGACCACCTTTCCCTATTATACAGCCAATCTGATCTGATGGTACAAGCAGCCGAGCAGTAACTTGCTGAGCCTCTTCAGCATCTTCAACAGGAGCATCATCCGCAACAAGTCTGTCATGCACCCTGAAGAGAGCATCTTGTGCAGGGGAAACAAAATCCCCAGTATCTTCAAATTCATTAGTTTTACGGCTTGAACTAAATATAGTGACAACACGCTCATCACATCCTGGCATGGTCTCACCAATCCTAATCTTTGATTGACTTTCTGATCTTAGTTGCTTAACAATCTCACCTCCTTTCCCAATTATACTTCCAATCTTTTTCCCAGGACATAAATAGCGATAGACTGTATCATCTGGCCCAGGAGCATATTGATCCCTATCATCACCAGGGTTCCTTCTCTTACTTCCACCATTCTCAGAATAGTCAGATTGAGAATGGGAACGCTTCCCATGATTATTCCTCTGACCAGCCATAATGGAAAATTCTTCTCAGTATGTACTTCCAGACTAAGCTTCTGCAAATAATAAAGGATTGAGAATTAGAACATATAAGATATTAAAAGTCTTGTTCTTCCAGTTTAAATTTAGGATGTGTGTTGACAGTGAGTGCCACAACAGAGTATAGTGACAGGACCCTAGCCTGTAAAAAGGGAAAAATAAGAGCACAGTAGGCCTATGTTGTCTACTTGTCTTTCACCTATACAGTACTAAGAACAGGACGAAAGCATCCGTGGATACCCAAATGGCTAACTGGTTTACGTACATCGCAACAGAGAGCATTGACCGGGTATGCAAGCATACGATAAAGAGCGCCTTCATAATCACATGGAAAATCCAGTACATAACAAGCAATAGACAGGAATCCCATTAAAAATGCCATTGAATTTAAGACTAGTACATAAATTTTTAATAATGGCGAGTCTAGAAGAAGGGTCTGTAAAATCTCGAACTCAACACGAATAAATAAAAGGATGCAATAAAGTTCAGGGTGAAAAAAAAAGCATCACTCTTTCTCCAAGCATGCAGGAATAAACAAAATCACATGTTAAACAAATAAAAATAATCAGATGAAGCATTATTATTTAGTGTGAATGCACATCCCAACCATCCGTGCAAAGCAAGAAACACATGATGACGAAAATAAATGTTCCGAATGAAATCCTGAGAAAAACAGATGAAAATCAAAGTACGCAGTTTAGGGATCCTCCAAACCCAAGAATCCAAGATTATATTTTTCAATCATAAGAAACGCAATCGCCTGAAATTTAAGATCTCCAGGAGCTCCACGCAACAGTAGCCTCAAATAAATACTAGACCAACCTACGAAACAAGCCCAGCTAACAGACTAACAGTACATGTTCGCAGAAGGCCAAGATCTGATAAAGAAGCAACTGCTTCAACGCTGAACCCTAATCGATATATACAGAGTTCAAGGAAAATCGAAGAACATGACAAACCGATGGAAAGGAAGTATTAAAAAGCAAAACCTTGGACTTGGAGAATGTTTCATACCTTCAACGGGTAAAGCAGAATCCTCAGAAAACCGGACCTCGCCTCGCAGACACGAAAGCGGGGGAAAATAAGGGAAAAAAACGCTGCCTTCAGAATGCGTTCGTAAAAATATCTTTAGGGCATCGTAGGTCTTTTAATTCTAGGGTTTTGACATGGGTGCCAGCTGGCTGTAGCGAAGACCTGGGGTTGAGTCCCGCGGTCCCGCCTTCGCTAATCGCTAGGGTTTGCCCGGGTCGTAGCAAACTGTTTGATATAGCTTTTTACTTCATTTGTCTTCAAAACCAATAAACTATTTGATAAACCGTTTATCGATAACTAGCGCCATTGAACCATATCTATATCTATACTACTATAAAAAGTATGAATAGCTTTAAAAAATTTCTGAAATTTTTATCGATTAAAATACCTCTTTTTGAAATAAAATCCCTTTGTTGTGAGGGTAGAAAATGTAATTTAAATACTATTATTTCATTCAGTACCTTCTTATTACATTTCACATTTAATGTATTAACTCTCATTTACCCTTGATGAGGGAGGATTTGGCCCTTCAATGACATCGTGATACATGACATCTTGGAATAGTTGGATAATACATATGTGCCACCTAAGCAATGACTTGGAATCCCATATTGTGGTTCCTCTTTGCCCTGACCTGGCGACTTGCTTTCACCGCCAACCTAGCGACCTCGACCACAACTCAGGTCGGCTAGAAGCACCTCGTATGAGGCCGACCTATAGCACCTCGTCTGAGGCCGATATGACCTCGACGCAAGGAGCGACCTCCCTCGAAAACGTGCCAGCCTGATTGAGGTCTAGGTGGCGACCTGCAAAACGTGCTCGCCGACAAATTCAACATGCATATCCCAACACTCCCACGTTTCTCAAAAGTTGGCCCACGCACCGAACGTTCCGGAGGGTGGTCAACGTGCATGGTGGTTACATCTGAGGATCTCGGACCGGTTAGGCATGACTTCCCGTAGATCTTGGATGCGGTGCATGAAGCCCATGCCAAACAAAGCCTATATAATGGCACCAACCCCAATGACACAGGGGGGCAGAAAGTACGTGTGATTAAGTGCATTATAGCTCTCCTATTTCTCAAACTCTCAGCTCGCATATTACTATTACTGACTTAAGCATCGGAGCGACCCAACCGGGTTAGCCACCTCGAGTTATCTGATCCTCCACTTCTTTGCAGTTCGAGCAACCTACTTGGCAATAAACGTCTGAGCTGCCCTACAACTATGAGCATCCAGATCGCGCACCATCAATTGGCGCCGTCTGTGGGAAACTCTACAAGAAGCTAAGTTCTCACCTTCTAAAAGGCTAAGTCTTCTTATTCTAGAAAGCTAAGATCTCACCTTTTAAAAATTTGAGTTCTCACTCTCTAATTTATGTTTTTTATTAACTCAAAGGCATTTTTAAGCAGCACCAACATCGATAACAAATAATCAATTACTAGGGGGGCAAGAACATGAGAACCCTCCTCCGTGACAATCAAGAAGCTTGGTGCATTCGAGCAATCAGTAGCAAAATGACCTTAACAACTAGCAGTCTGGCGATAGGCGCTTCGGAGTAGAGCCACCCCCGCAGGTCGAGAGCCCCTTGTGATTCCCGCGGGAGTTGATGGCCAACCGACTAAGCTGCTTTGCCAACCTCATTTCAGCCCGGATGAGCCTCGTTAGCCTTCTTCACAATGTCTCCCCTACATGTTGAACCCTTCGCGGCTCCCGCGGGAATTAGCGGCCTACGGGTAGTGCGGACACTCTTGCTGGTTGAGCCTTTCAAGGCTCCCGTGCGAGTTGGCAACCTACAGCTAGTCGAGTTGCTCCCGCATGTCTAGCTCCCTGTGGATTCTCGTAAGAGTTGAAAACCAACGTCTCTTAGGGTTGATGCAGTGCAACCGTGGCATCAACTTATCATCTGACGTCAAAAGTAATGACAAAACCTGCAAAGATAACAAAAAAAAATAACCAGCCCGGGTGAGCCTCAACGATCTAACCCGGACTACCTCCAGCCCAAACTGCGATGCCTTACTGCAGGTCGAGCTTTTATGTCCCCCATGAGAGTTGGAAGCGAGCTGAAATTGGAACTACCCTCATAGGTCGAGCCCCTTATGGTTCCCGTGAGAGTAAGCAACCTGCAGACAACAAAGCTGCCCCCTTAGGGTGAGCCTCCCATGACTCTAATAGAAGCAGACACTCAGCGGTTCCAGGAGTAGCACGCCATGATCTTGCAAGCACCTTCTTGAGGAAGCCAATCTCAAAGTAATGATATAGAAATAGAGAGTGGACCGTGAGTCACTCCCAGAGCCTAAAGGTTAAAGTGTCGAGCTGATAAAAGAACTTGGCACCACATAAGATCCAAAAAAGAGAACAAAGGAAAAACTAGTTCGCTCTCAGCACCATGATGGACACAAACTCGGTCGATCTCTTCACTTTGGTTTTAGGCTCTGTGTCGAACTCACTGGCTACTCTTTTGAGAACCAGTTCAAGTGACATTGCGTTGAAGTCTACCTAGGTGGAGCGACCTAATCAAATAGTCACGCAATTAACCCCTCTTGAGGACGGCATGATGAGCTTCACTCTCGAGGTAATGGTCGGATTGCAGAACCCCTTGACGGTTGCATCCCTAATAAGGTAGATGTCCTCGGAGTACCTGTTTCACCTTTCCTCGAGCGGATGACTTCGCTCTCGTGCCCCGAGAATCAAGACAGTGAGGTCCTGTGTAAGGCTGCAAACACTTGAACTCTTCCGATACAATAAGCAAATTTGACCGACGCTTACAACTACGAGCTCATCAAATAGCCATTCCAGGCCAAATGAACAATCTACTCCCTTCATCGAGCTACTCTCAACTTGGGAGTAGGGGGTAATTGATGAGGGCGGATTTGGCCCTCCAATGACATCATAACACATGGCATCTTGGAATAGCTGGATGACACATAAGCGCCACCTAAGCAATGACTTGGAGTCCCAAATCGCAATTCCTCTTCGCCCTGACCTGGCAACCTACCTTCACTGCCAACCTGGCGACCTCAACCACAACTCAGGTCGGATAGATGCACCTCGTCACTGGCCGATGTAACCTCGACGCGAGGAGTGAGCTCCCTCGAGGGTGTGCCAGCCTGATTGAGGTCTAGGTGGCGACCTGCGAGATGTGCTCGTCGACAAATTCGGCATGCATATCCTGACACTCCCACATTTCTCGAAAGTTGGCCCACGCACCGAACGTTCCAGAGGGTGGTCAACGTGCATGATGATTACCTTCGAGGATTTCGGACTGGTTAGGCACGACCTCCTGGAAATCTTGGATGTGGTGTGTAAAGCCAATGCCAAACAAAGCATATATAATGGCACCAACCCCAATGGCGCAGAGGCAAAAGGTATGTGCGATTAAGTGCATTCTAGCTCTCCTATTTCCCAAACTCTCAGCTCGCATATTACTATTACTGACCTAAGCATTGGAGTGGCCCCGCCGGGTTAGCCACCCTGGGTTCTCTGATCCTCATTTTCTTTGCAATTCGAGCAACCTACTTGGCAACAGACGTCCGAGCTGCCCTACAGCTAGGAGCATCCAGATCGCGCACCATCAACCCTCGTTATATCATATATTTAAAGCATTAATTTATTCCCATCACTAAATTCTACTAATTAAAACCATACATAATAAATTAATAATTCTAATAATATAAAAACTTACACTTTTGAAAGTTATATGGAAAAATAGTATTTTCATCTAAGTGGTGGTAAGAAATTAAACCATTTGGGGTCAAATGGGTCAATTCATGTTGCCATAGCTATACAATAAAATTTGAAAAATAGATAAAATGCAAAAAAAAATTAAAGAAGAATTTGAAAACATTTTTAGCATCATATATTTGACATATTAAACAATAATAAGGGTATAGAACTTTCTTTTTTACTAAACTACCCCAATATTTGAATTTAGTCATTCTTTAATTGTGAGGGGTCAATTGGGTGAATCCATGATGTCATAGTTAAATAATAAAATATTTAAAATAGAAGCAAATCCACAAAGTAGAAAAAATGGGTAATTTCTTTGATATTTTATATTAATCATGTTAAATAATCATAAAGAATAAATATTTGTATTGATAATGGAAATTAAATACAAGTTTTAAAACCAACCAAAAAATTAAATTGATTTCCTATTTGGTCAAGGTCGATAGTTCAACTTTTAGGTCATGTGTCAATATTAAATGTCATAATTCAATAATAAAAATTAAGAAAACAAAAAAAATAAAAAATACATCAATTTTGCAATAAAAACATTTGGGCGCATCTCTAATATCGTATATTCATCATATTAAACAAACTAAGTGTGATAAATTATAATTATTTTGATACAAATGAAAATATAAAAATGGTCAAAAATGTAATTTGAATTTAGTAACTTTTTTAATTATAAGGGCAAAAAAATGTAATTTGAACTATTATTCTTCATTTCGTTCAAATCCTTCACATTAAGTTATATATTTGATGTGCTAACGTCCGTTCTATCTTATTAAATCCTAAATTTAAGTTATTTTTTCACTAATAAATTCTACTAATTAGGTATGTATCCAATACTTTTAAGAATATAAAACCATAATCCAAGTGATGACTAAGCAATTCAACCATCTAGTTAAAGTTGGTCAACCCATGAAGTCATAGTTGGGTAATAAAATTTGTAAATAGAAATAAATATAAAAAATTATAAAATGTAGAAAAAATAGACACATTTATGATATTTTTATTAATCAAATTAAAAAATAAGAGTAATAAACAATGTTTTTCTTTTATGATGAGAATGAATAGATAATCTAAAACTAGCCAAAAATTAAATTATTTTCCTATTGGATGGAGATCAACGGTTCAACTTTTTGGTCAAATGTGTTGACCTTTAATGTCATAATTAAATAATAAAATATAGAGAAATATAAAAAACATAAAAATAGATAACTTATAAAAAAAATAATATTTGGGCACATATGTAATATCATATATCTATCATATTAAATAAAGTTTGTGTACACACATAGAAATAAAAAAAAAAATTTGAACACATATATAATTCTATATTTATATTACTTCTAAAAACATGAATAAGGAATAAGATTGTAGAACTTTCTTTTAAT